CACTATACTACTTAGACCGGTCCTTACGTTTGATTTTATATGTTTTTTAGGTCTGTCTATGTATTCTCATATTGAGGTGATGGTGAACTGAGGTGTTTACCTCATTTGTCCACATGTGTATTATGTAATAAAGCATAATTTTTGGAATTACTTTGAGTATCACATTCTGTCCACTATGTAACCACTTTTTGTGAATCTCTTTTCACATCCCTTCTTTTTTGTTGCATGTTTTTTGGTTATTGGGCAGATAATTTACATCTAGTGATGCATGATATCTATAAGCCTCTAGGTTTTCTCTATTTTACTGGCTTTTAGCCAGCCTGCACATTTGCCCCCATAGTAAGCTGCTTGCTATGGGGGAAGACAAAGAGAAAGACCCAAGATCATTGGAGGGGGACCCCAAAAGAGGATCAGGACTGCTCTGTGCAATACCATTGCTCAGAGCAGATAAGCATATTTTTTTTTTTTTTTTTCGTTAAAATAAAACTTTTACGCTCAGTTCAAAACTCAAGGTACTCAAAAATTGTATTCTAGTCAACCAGTCTGAATAAATAGTAAAACAAAAAGTAATCCGAATATGGAAAGCATTTTTAACTGCTTCCTCGCTACCCTATAGCAGAAATACTGCTACACAGCTGTTGAGAATCAAGTATACATACACAATTTGCATTTCCAGGTAGAGAACTTGTGTGCCGCCCTACCCACGGTCTTTGTCAGAGATTACCTGCCGAGACCCGGCGATCACTGAGAAACAGTGACAGGGAAGAGACCTGTGAACACTATAGGTCTCTCTTGCCAGCAATAACATGTTGCTGTGTATTTCTCTGCACAGCAGAGGAATACACAGCAGCATGTTTCCCTAATAAAAAAACACTCAGCAAAACAGCACAGTTAACCCTTTGATCACCCCCAGATATTAATCCTTTCCTGCTCAGTGTCATTAGCAATAATCACTGTATTAGTGTCATTGGGATGTCAGTGCCAGTTAGTCAATTCCCACCCAGTGTCAGAATGCCCGCCACAGTCCCACCAAGTCGTTGACCGCCACCATTACTAGTAAAAAAAAAAAAAAAATTTAAAGTAAAAACTTCAGTATATATACACTGCCATTTGTAGACTAACTTTTACGTAAACCAATAATTTATATGTATTGGAGTTTTTTTTTTTTTTAAGCAAAAGACATATAGCAGAATACATTTTCGCCTAAATTTATGATGAAATTTGATTTTTAAAATTATTTTACTGAACAGGTTTCAAAGCAAAAAATATTGTTTTCCCCCCCAAACTATCAGTCTTTGTAGCGCAAAAAAAACAAAACAAAACAAAAACACTATGGCAACATTGTACTACACTTTGGGGATAGTGTAATATTAAAAACAAAAAATCTTTACGGTACGGTCACCAGTCAGTGTCCCTGATCACCGCCTCACCAGTTATATGATGAGTCTGTACTGCACTGGTGACAGTATATAAAAAAAAATAAAACATTTATGAAAATGATTGTTTTAATTTCTGCATTTTCCAAAAAATTACAACAAAAAAATTACAACTTCAAAAAACTCACCATTCTTCTTATGAAATAAGTCGGACTGTCTACTTTGCAAAAAGGGGGCATTTGGGGGAAATCTGTACTGTTCTGACATTTTTGGGCCTCAAGAAATTAGATTGGCTGTCAGTACTTCAGGACTGATCAATTTTCAGATATATCCCATAGTTTGTGAACTCTAACTTTCCTACAGACTAAATAATAAATACTGATTTGGGTTATTTTCACCAAAGAAATGTAACAGAATACATCTTCCGCCTGGGCTCCCTCGTGCGGAGCGATGGGTCTCAGCCAATGGTCCCCTTTTCCGGCAAGTCTTCCAGTGCTCTGCCAAGGCGGGTATTAGAACTCAAAGACAATCCTTCCCCGATATCCCAAACCACGAGTCAGAACTTTGTGTAGGGTGAATGAATGAATGCTTTAACACAGCTCAGTTTATAGAGCATATCCTGGTTAAACCCTGCCCCCTTCAGCCCCACCCCTACCAGTCTGGCACCTGGTTTTCCCCTCCCACAACAGAACTCTACAGCAATCAGCACAGCATAAAATCTAGAGAAGTGAAAGACTACAAGTTCACATTACCCTAAACAAACAGTGTAGAATGCCTGTCTACATAACAGCTCCTAAACATATACAGCTGTAAAAATGGTAGAACAGGAAAGGCCAATTAACAAGGGGATAAAACCGGAACAGAAAGGGCAAAATGTTATCACAAAGGGATGGTTCGTCACATTTATGAAGGATAATTTATTTGCAAACTTTTCTAACAGAAACAAAGAAAAACGAGGGCTTTTTTTCAAAAGTGTTTTTTTTTTGTTAATTTAGCAAAAAATACAAACCCCAGGGGTGATTAAATACCACCAACAGAAAGCTCTAGTTGTGTGAACAAAATGATAAAAATTTAGTTTGAATGACATTTGCGTGGTCATGTAACACTGTACCCAAAAGTGTGAGTGCTGAAACCTGAAAATTGGCCTGGGCAGGAAGGTGGTAAAAGTGCCTGGTATTGAAGTTGTTAATCCTTATGCTGCTAGCATTAGTAAATGGATAGGAAAGTATACCATACTTTTGAACTTTTTTTCACATTTCTTCATTTACTTCCTGATTTCAATGCCTAGGCAAATTATGTCATACATCCCAGGAGTCTTCAGGAGGGGAGGGAGGGTTCTTAGCTCAGCCAATGCCTGAGCTAAAGGCAGATGGATTCCAGGAAGGAAATGTTACATGAATCATCTGCCGTTACTCAAGATGGTCACTGCCAGAAATGCCAGGGGGAGTTTTTCAAAATTATTAATCAGCAAAATAAAGCCTGGAGACATGGATGGATGAGGGAGTTTGCTTTGAATATTAATGAATTAAACAGCATTTTAGGTTTGTAGTACTCAAATGCAGTGCAGTTCCTAAGTACATGTAATATTTCAGTTTTTTTTTAATAAATTCAGAAACATTTCTAAAATTATGTTTTCACTTTGTCATTATGGGGTACGGAGTCTAGATTAATGAGGAAAAAAAAAATGTAAACAACTGTAGTTTCAGACTGGACTAGAACACTGAAAAAAGTGAATGGGTTCTTCAGTGTACATTACAATTAAGGACCTTTAACCCCTTCCTGCCAACAGTGTATATATATATGCAGCCCAATTGGACTGGGCTTTTTCCATGGGGTGGCATAAATGAGTATCTGCCTTTTATTTTATTTTTTTAATCGATATGTTTGATTTAGGTCAGTGCCAGCGTTCGTGCTAGGGTCTAATGTCAAGGTCAGTATATTTTGGGCAGGCATTTTTTTTTTTAAAAGAAGGACTTTTTAAAATTAGTATCAGCTTCAGTTAGTGTCGATGTCAGTGCGCATTCTGCTTTTTTTAATCGTAACTAAAAAAAACACACTATTGCTCCTGGGCTGTACTACAAGTACATACAACACACATACACACGTGGTAGCGCTGCGATTGTGGGTTGTACTTTGATGGTAGGTTATTGTAGAAGCAAGAAATATGCAGCTTAATTTGAATATTTCTTTTTTTTTTTTTTTTTTTTTTTTTTACAATTTTGAGCCAGTTTTCCATAAAAAAACAAAAGCAAAAAAAAAAAAAAAAAAAAAAACCAGGAGATATTACCATTTACCACCAAATGATAGCCCAAGTTGTCCATCTGGATACACATAGTAGTTGTGATACTATGTATGCTTTTACAAACACGTCAACGTTGCAAAATTGTGCTTTGGCATTACCAACTGTTTTACCCTTAGCCGGGAAGGAGTTAAATTACAGTCAACACCTATTTGATTATAAAATCATGAAATTTTACATTCTTAAAAAGATGTCACAACTTCAGGTCTTTGCATTAAAAATTACTGTATTTTCGCTCCATAAGACGCACTCCCCCCCCCCCCCCCCCAAAAAGGGGGGAAAATGTCAGTGCGTCTTATGGAGCGAATATGGAGCAGCCGGTCTGGTATTTCCACCGCCGACACCGTGTCAGAACACCAGGCCGACCGCTCAGCTCTTCTCTGCAGTAGGACCTTTCCTGATCCGCTGTACAGTCTCCCCGCACCGGCATCTTTAGTGTGAGAACCCGGCTGCTACAGCCGGGTGCCCACTGCGCATGAGCGAGATGCGCTGCGCTTTGTGAATGGCCCAGCATCTTCTGGGACTTGTCATGTATCACAGCCGGGTGCCCACACTAAAGAGAGGACAACTCGGCAGAAGTGGGGGCAGGTACCTGTCAAATTCAGGTCCCGGCTCCCCCTCCCTCCCCAAAAGGTCTAGTCTCTTGGTCATCTCCAGTGCTGCGTCCGCAGTCTCTGGTCATCTCCCGTGCTGCGTCCGCAGTCTCTGGTCATCTCCCGTGCTGCGTCCGCAGTCTCTGGTCATCTCCCGTGCTGCGTCCGCAGTCTCTGGTCATCTCCCGTGCTGCGTCCGCAGTCTCTGGTCATCTCCCGTGCTGCGTCCGCAGTCTCTGGTCATCTCCCGTGCTGCGTCCGCAGTCTCTGGTCATCTCCTGTACTATGTCTCCAGTCCATTGGTTCAGAATATTTTTTTTGTTTTTCTTCGCTAAAACCTAGGTGCGTCTTATGGAGCGAAAAATATGATATATAAATTAGTGCTGCATCATATTTAACAGCGGGAAACAACCAAGGACAAAAAAAAAAAAAAAAAAAAAAAACACTATCCAAGAACTTTGTGGCCCTCTGACGTGACTGAGTAATACTCAATGAGAGCGGGAGAACTGGCAGATTACAAATATATGAACATTGGTACACACAATCTATAGTCACACCAAAATTTTTGTCCTACACTATTAAAAGGGTACAGATCCTTTTATATAGAAGCTTGTATAAGATCTCTACTAAAATTACAGAAAATAATTTTTCCCCGACACAACCTGCGCAAACAGTGGCCAAATTATCCCACAAAACGGTGAAGCAAAATATCAAAAGTAAAATAAATCTCACCAGACAGTTGTTCCTCAAAATGTATGAGGTCACCGGACTCTTGGAGGACTGGATCAGGATGCAACTGAGGAGATGGAAGGCAAGAAGGAACAGGACCACCTAAGAGATCAACAGGTGACGTGAGGCAGAGGAGTTCCCTGTCCATCTGGTGAGAAACTGGTGAAGAAAAAAAAAAAAAAAAAACATTCAAATGAACACAAGCTGGATGCTGCAGAAGTTAAAACATTCATATTTTACAATTGTAAAATATTGACCTTATAAAGGAAATCTGCGATAAAGTATGAAGCCTGCCATTGCTCATTTCTGGGGGGAAAAAAAAAAAAAAAGTTTGCGCTTGCCTTAAAAAGGTTAAGTACCTTTACCAAAAATAGCTATGCAGGAATGGGGTGCCTGTAGATAAAAACTGTGAAACCTTGAACAAAGTTAAATTTCGCCCTTCCTATAGGTATAGGCCGCAGGAGTTAAACCAGCAGCCCTGCAGATGTTTCCAAACTACTAGTCCCATGAAGCATTGCAAGATTGACAGTTACAAGCATGACTCCCAAAGGTAGAGGAATGACAAGACTTGTAGTTTCCCAAAAGCTGGAGGGCCGCCAGTTTGACACCCCTGGTATAGACCATATACGTACTTGCTGAAGGCGGAATCAAAAATTCCCAGATATTGCATCATCCTGTGCTGTCTTGTTGCTAGGAAATTGGTAAAACATTGCTCAGACACACCCAGTTGTGTTTGCTCACATCTATTACAGGATTGAGCTATTTCTTCTCCCTCACATACTCTCTCTCATCCCTGATCCAGTAGCTTTGAGCTCCGCATTTGTCAGCTTGCTTCAGTGATGGTGAGGGTGATCAGTAACAGCTGGGAGCATCTTAAGGATGGGTTTTTCCAGACTGCCTTCAGAAGGTACATAAATGGCCTATCCCTACAGCAAAGGCATCATATCCAAGTATAGTCAAACTCAAGTATAGTCAAAGCTGCACAGTTTTTATCTACAGGTGCTCCTTACCAGCAGAGGCTGTTTTGTTTTTTTTTTGTTTATAAAGGCGAGCTAACCCTTTAAAGCCTTCTCACAGTATTTTGAGAATACTTTTGTATTTTTTGACGCACATAAATTTTCCCTCAGCAATCAGAGGACAAAGGACTCAACATGATGAGATATCTAAAGGCAGTCTCAAAAAATGAGAATCAAGCATATACACCAAAACATGCCATATCAAAAAGTAATACAAGTAGTGTAAACACTCTCACAGCCATCTGCAAAACCTTGCATACAAATGCCACCATCTGCTGAAAAAGCCACAACTATCCAGCAGAATTTAGGAAAGGTGTGGTGTGGATCGAGGACCTTCTAGCAGTTTTGAAAAACTAGGAGGTAGAAGCCTGGTGTCAAAGACCAAGGGCGAGCTTTCTGTCTCTATAGGGGGGCCTTTCAGAAGTACAGTCTTTATTCAAGAAGAAAGCAAGCTATAGACACAGATCCATGTCTGACTAGCAGCAGGAGCAGGATGTAGGATTCAGCCCTCAAGTAGAGGAAGGTCTGCTCAATGTGAAGAGTGCCACAGAGCCTACAACTACAACTTTTCATTTTGTGACCCTCATTCTGATACAATGCCTATTCTCCATCCTATTGGCTTCCAACCATCTGGCTGGTGCTTGTTTTTCTATAGATTACTCATCTGCTTTACAATCATAGTGAGCGAGTATGTTCAGACTACAAATCCGCTCTTCTCAAATACAACTCCAGCCTCCACGCTGCTAAGCAAACCTTCTATAACACTCATCGAGACCCTCTCATCAAATCCTCATCAACTCTTCTCTACCCTTAATTCCTTACTCCACCCCCCACTGCCTCCACCCACCAACTTACTGCACAGGAGACTGCCAGTCACTTCAAGAAGATCGACACAATTTGTGAGGAGTTCTCCATTGTCAAGCTTCCTCCTCTAACCAACATACCAGGCCCAACACCAAACTCAACACTCTCCTCCTTCAACCCTGTTACCACCAAGGAAGTTGCCGAACTCCTTTCCAAAGGCCCACGTCACCACCTGTCTCCTGGATCCTGTCCCCTCACGACTGTTGCAGCCTCCTTCCTGCTCTATCAAACTCACTAACCCACATATACAACCTCTCACTCTCCATGGGCACCTTTCCCTCCCCACTCAAACATGCACTGGTTACCCCCATCCTCAAAAAACCCTCGCTGGACCCCACCTGTTTGAATAACTTAAGACCCATCTCCCTGCTCCTGTATGCCTCCAAGCTTCGAGCGCCTTGTTCACAACCATATTGTCAGGGAGCGAGGAGCCAGACACACAAGGAGGTGCAATTAAAGGTAGGTTTATGAATATCAAAATAAGATAAGAGTCTATGCATGTCCAACAGCGGAAATCGTAGCCAAAGCCGGGATCAGGAGCCAGGAAGAATCGTCACCAGAGCCGGGATCAGGAGCCAGGAAGAATCGTCACCAGACCTGGGGTCAGAAGCCAGGAGGAGTCTTAGCCAAAGCTGAGTCAGTATCAAGGAAAGCAATGAGTAGCTAAACAGGAGCTTGCTGCTGTGCAAGAGACAGGACACGAATGCAATTGACAGCTTCAAAACAGCAGAGTTCTATGTGATAAGCCACCACCTTCTGGGGGAGGAGCCGCAGAGGGCTGAAAGCATAAAGGATCCCACAATGCTTTGCAGACACCTAAGATGGATGCCAGCACATGGAGCAGCACAAGCCCTGAGGAAAGGTAGGACCTTGACACGTATGAACTGCTACCTCACCGACAACAACCTTTATGATCCCGGACAGTCTGGATTCCACCCACAACATTCCACAGAAACTGCCCTACTAAAAATGACCTACTAACTGCTAAAACCAACGGCCATTACTCCATACTCCTACTCCTTGACCTTTCCGCTGCCCTTGACACAGTCGACTACCCGCTCCTCCCCAGTAAACGGTCACAATTATGGCAAATCACGGCTTGAACTGTCTTGCTTTACATGTAATGAGTCTATATCATATATTAGTTTCACCTTTTAAGTAGCATTACTGAAATAAATGCACTTTTGCACGATATTCTAATTTTTCGAGTTTCACCTGCATCTCTCCACTCCTCAGCTCACCTCCTCAGGCATCACAAATCTACTAAGCGACATATAAGCATGGATGTCATATCACTACCTTAAACTCAATCTTTCAAAAACTGAACTTGTAATATTTCCTCCCCCCCGGTCCCCAACTCATGACTTTACCATTAAGATCAACAGCACAACCATCGGTGCTTCCCCTCATGCCAGGGTGTTAGACTCTGACCTCTCCTTTGGGCCCCACATTCATTCACTCACTGGCTAAATCCTGCCACCTCAACCTCCAGAACATTTCCAAAATCCATCCCTTCCTGACCAATGACACCACAAAACAACTTATCCACGCCTTGGTTATATCCCGCCTCGATTACTGCAACTCCCTCCTCACTGGTCTACTGTTGCACAGGCTATCCCCCCTTCAGTCTAATATGAATGCTGCTGCTAGACTCATACACCTTACCAACCGATCAGCGACTGCTGCCCCTTTCTGCAAATCCCTTCACTGGCTTCCACTAACCCAACGTATAAAATTTAAAATACTCACAGCTTACAAAGCCATCCACAACACTGCCCTTAGCTACATCACCATCCTCATCCACAGATACTACCCAAATCACCCACTCCTCTCCTCCCATAATATCCTCTTCACCTCCTCCCATGCTCGCCTCCATGACTTCTCCAGAGCCTCTCCCATCCTCTGGAACTCCCTACACAGCATGTCTGGTCAGCCCCCAACCTGTCTGTCTTTAGGCGATCTTTGAAAACTCACTTCTTCAGGGAAGCCTACCCCACCTCCACCTAAGAACTGTACTTTAATCACCTCCACCAGATCATCCCCCGCAGCGATCACCTTTTGTATCACCTCCTCCTTCCTTTAGATTGTAAGCTCCACGAGCAGGGCCCTCACATTCCTTCTGTACTGAAAGTATTGTAATTTTTTTTTTTTATTTCAGGTACTTATATATGTAAAGTGCTGCGTAAATTGAAGATGCTATATATTATACCTTCACATCAGTCCCTAACCATCAAGGGGCGTACAATCTAAGGTCCCTAACTCATTCATATACAAGGGCCAATTTAGACAGGATTCCATTACCTACCAGCATGTCTTTGGAGTGTAGGAGGAAACTGGAGTACCCGGAGGAAACCCACGCAGGCACAGGGAGAACATGTAAACTCCAGGCAGGAGGTGCCATGGTGGGGATTCGAACCAACGACCCTAGCACTGCCAGGCGGAAGTGCTAACCATTTAGCCACTGTGCTGCCCTAATTGTACTGTCTCCCTTATATTGTAAAGTGCTGCAAAAACTGTTGGCGTTCTATAAATCCTGTATAATAATAATTAATAACTTTTTAATCAAGGTACGCTGTTCTTCTGAACAATGTCTGGAACGACCCATTTTCCTCAGAATTTCAGAGAGAAATGCACTGTACCCGGCATGTACAACATTTGCTGCCTTCCTTCCTTAAATAAGGGCAATAATTGCCACCTGTTTTTCAAAGAATTAAAGACCTCACGAATAGAACTCCACACTGCTATTATTTTGAACATGCCCCTTTCAATTAGTGATTCAATTACACAGAATCAGCAGCATGCATGTCATGACTGTTGGGTCTGTTGGATTTCTATTACTCTACTACACCTGCTAGTAAATTATTTGCCATGTAGAAATATCATTTCTACCAAAAACAGTGATTGATCAGGTTAGTGATGTCTGACTGCTATTATTTTGAACACAACTGTATATATGCACACATCAGTGTGGTGAGTTATGGGGTGTCCACAGGAGCAGTAGAACTAGAAAACCACGAGACAAAGCATGCAGCAGGCAGTGAAATGATTAAAAATTAAGTCTGAAATGGCATAATACAGCTATTTAATACATATGAAGAAAGCCATGTCCATTACCTCATATAGACTAAATGAACATTATTATTATTATACAGGATTTATATAGTGCCAACAGTTTGTGCAGCACTTTACAATATAAGGGAGACAGTACAATTAAAGCAGCACAGTGGCTAAATGGTTAGCACTTCCACACTGGCAGTACTAGGGTCGTTGGTTCAAATC